AGCTCCTACTTGCCGAGTCCCTTTATGGACTTGGCGAATAGAACACTAAATACGCGATCCCACCTCGCTGTTACTCGACGAGTAGGGCAACAAACTTGTCGAGTAGGTCTCAAAACCAATGACTTTCATTTAAACCCATACCTGAGAATCGGGGTGTTACAATTCTCCCCCATTTGAACTAGACTTCGCCCTCGAAGTCTGCTGGAGCAAACAACGCCGGGTAATGCTCGCACATCTCCACCTCCGACTCCCATGTCCACTCGGATCCCCTCCGATGTTCCCACTGCACCTTCACCAAAGGTATTTATTTGTTCTACAAAATCTTCTTCTTCCTCTCCAAGATGGCCAGAGGCCTCTCCACACAATTCAGGCGCTCATCGACTTGAATATCATCCAGTGATACTATCACCTCTTAGTCCATAACTCATTTTCACAATTGCGAAACATGGAACGTGTTGTGAATTCGGCTGAGATCCTCCGGTAGCTCTAGCCTATAAGCCACCTTGCCAACCTTGGCAATGACCCTGAATGGTCCAATATAACGGGGACCTAATTTTCCCCTCTTCCTGAAACGCATCACATCCTTCCAGGGCGAGACCTTCAGAAATACCATGTCACCAACCTGAAACTCCAAATCTGATCGGCGTCTATCAACGTAATTCTTTTGCCGACTATGAGCGGTCTACAGTTGTTGTCTGATCTGCTGTAACTTTTCGACAGTCTCCAAGACTACCTCTATCTGACCCATCACTATCTGTCCAATATCACCCCAACAAACTGGGGTTCTACATCTTCTACCATACAACAGCTCAAAAGGCGGGGTGCCAATATTGGAATGATAACTGTTGTTGTAGGCAAACTCTGCAAGCTGCAGGTGGGAATCCCAATTCCCTCCGAAATCAATGACACACACCCTCAACATATCTTCGAGGGTCTGGATGGTTCACTCACTGTGACAACCCGATATTTCAGTTCTATGTAATGACTTAAAAAGTCGTATATTGTAACCACTTTTGAAAATAATGAAATTAACTTTAAAAATAAAATGTACAAAAGTCTCTATTTTAGTTACCTACTATGTTAGATATCACTAAACCGTGAGCGTACATAAAAAGAACGTCCAAATCTGACTTCGTATGAGAAAGTTATGATTTTTCCAAGTTCGGTATAGTGGTAGACAACTAAAAACTCGAAACAGAGATCGAACGACTTTTGGTCGGAATGACCTAAATGAGAATCGAAGGTCTCAACAATGGTATTTCAACGGTAAAAAGTATGGCAAAAACAGACATCGGATAAAGAAGTTATGGATTTCTAACGAACTTTACTTACCCCAACCTTTTAAAAATAAATAATAAAAATAATTTCAAAATTTTCCAACGGAGTCTAAACGAAAGTTGTAGAGCGTAGTCTCACTTACGCGTGGATATAAAGAACGTCGAAAACGGAGTTTGTATGAAGAAGATATGAATTTTTGAAGTTTACTAAATACTAAAAATATAAATTTAAAACAAAATTGGGTATTATCCGAAGGGGGAGTCACTGGCCCTATCCAAGTTACGCCCGACGTAACAGCGTAAGCGAGGACTAGGCCTCGGGTCGTCCACGTCGCCCCCTATGCGAGGCTATGCCCCATCCCATCCGAGCTCCGAGGCAGTCGAGGATGCGGTCACACATGATGCACGCGTACGCCCATCGTAACCGCGTACTCCCAGCGTACCGAGGTGGTTCCCAGCCCCTATAAAAGGGATGCGAGGGTTCCGGGGAAATTACTCATTCTCTCTCATCTTTCTTGTGTTTTTGCCTCGTTTTCCACGCATGTGATATCCTGAATCCCCGGTGTCCATACTTAAGTCCCAAAGGTCGTTTGTGCTCCCGAGAAAATCCGCTTTCTCGAGTCAAAGTTCTGCTCGGTTTTCATCTCGCTTTCTTCGATCTTTCAAGTGAGTTCATACCCCTATAAAATACGCTTTTAAATGTTTTACAAATGCTTTTTATACAATATTTAGGGGGAAAATGCAAGTAAAACACGCAGTTATTATCGTGTGTAACTTAACGATTCACTATATAAACTTTTTATCTAAGTAATCATTTGTGATTCATAAACTACTACATGAGTATTCTCCTATGAAATATATATTTTCAATAACTCCTTGTCTTGTGGAAATAAACGTGTATATATATATATATATATATATATATATATATATATATATATATATATATATATATATATATACACACACACACACAAAAATCAAATGCTCCATTTTACATTAGGTATATGTGATCAGTTAAGTCTCTTTACATGTTATACTTTACATAATGAGTGAGCATTACACTAGGGTTTACTAGATGAATGAAACACACTTTGAAAAACTATAATAGATATAGTTTAAGAGGAAATCATGAACATTTACATACTAGGTACACTACATTAAAGAAGATGTTTTCATATACAAGAACAAATAGACATTTTCATACATAAATTTGTTTTAAACTAAATTTTGTGAGACATTTCACGTATTTTTAAGTATGCATTTTAAGTCCTATATTATATATCATAATCCCTTGTAGGGGGAGTGTGATACTTATGTATAGATCTATACGGGTTTGACAATGCCACACCTAAGCTTTTAGCTACAGCTAGGCCGACAGGCCTGGGGTGACAAACGTCGTAACTTTCCAATGCTTGAAGAACATTGATATAGGCATCCTGGTCAAATAACATGGTTATAAGACTCACATGGAGTATTAAAAACACATTGATTTACGGAGTTTTTCCAATGCCTTAACGATTTACACATAAAACTACTATTTTAGGCATGAAAAGCACTATTGCATTACAGTTTTAGAACAAATCAAACTACCATCTACTATGTAGAAAATATGGGATTTTCTTGGAACATTTATGAAGAGATTTGTAATCGAGTTTGAATCAAATTCAAGTATGAATTCAGGAAGAGTAATAACGATGAATACGAGAGTAAATAGAATATTTGTTTAGCTCGTATTATGCTTTTGAGTTTACAGATTACAGTGAATAAACTGTAAAGACTGAGTGAAATGTTTTTTTTTCAATCACTTAGTACAGACCCCTATTTATAGGAGAACAAAAGCATAACAATACTAAGGCCTAGACATTAAGACTACTCTTTATAATGCCTTAGTACAAATAACAATACATCCAAAGACTCCTTCTTACGAAGACAAAATATACTTCGTAACAATCTAACTGACTCTTCGACTATTACAACATTTAAGCCCTAACAATCTCCCCCTTTGGAATCAAGGTCGAAGTCTTCAAGTTGTCAGTGATTGAACGGCATACATCAGCACTCTTCGGATCTCCATGTACCAAGAGATAACTTTCTTTATCTCTTTCTTATCTCCTTCTGAGTTCTTCTTGCAGTGGTTCATACGAACAATTAAGTTCGTATATTGTGAGTTGGTGTATCTCTCCACTTCGCAAGTTTGAAATAAGAACCGCTTAGCTCTTCCATCTTTGTCTTTTCCTGCAAAAACGACAAATTTCTCCATCTTCGTATTTGTTCAACTCATTCTGCTTCTTCGATGGCGCCATTGGTGCAGTAATGTCGATGCCTTTGACAATTGCGAGTTCGACATCAGTCTGAGCTAAGAACTCAAAATAATTCTCCAAAAATATCTTAATGTGCTTGCACCCAAGGCTAAAAACATCTGGTTCTGTGTCTTGGAGAAAAGAAAATGGTTTGTCTTTGAGCATCAAGGCAATGTTGATTAGATCATATGTGTTCATCAAAGGAAAGTCTGCCACTGTGAATTCTTGTAACTTCCCACTTGCTCTTGCTACAGTGTACTTCAAATTTTCAAACTTCCCTTTGAATATGACATCCCTTTTTATAGATATCACCTTCTTAATTTTCTCCGAAAACCATACTTCCTCTTGAGCCTTCGCCAATACTGCATGAAACCTTATCTTTATCTTCTTTCCCTCTTTGGTTTCCATTGATTTTGTTTCAGTTTTGAACTATGGCATAACGAACATCATTTCATTGATTGGAAAGTCAAGTTGACCAAAGTCTGTGTTCGTAACCACATAGCTCTTTTTCGGAACCTTTTCGAATGAGTACATATAATCAAACACCACTCTGGACTCGATGGTTTCGTAGTTATAAACTTTTGTTGGATCACCCTTATCAACATTCGAACCATCCAGAGCTCTTTGTCTCATTATGCTCTGTACATGCCTCATTCTTTCCACCTTAGCTTTCTTCTCTTCGTTAGTCTTCTCAATCAAAACTACGTTTCCCTTGTCTTTGATGCTTGACAAAACCATTTTTTCGGATGAAGAAACATCAGCTTGCTTCCCAATCACAACACCTTTCGAACTTGGTTTTGGAAGTGGAATTGTTGTGATCACAGTCGAAGTGACTGGACCTGCTGAAATAACACTTGGTTTTGTCACCACCTTCGAAGGATAAAGTTTTCCAACTACCTTCGCATCTTCAGTTCTCTTCATTTGTTCCCCAGCCTTCGATTGATCAATCTTTTCTCCCCCTTGCACCCCTCTGTAACATTCGGCAGAAGGCTGGAAATGCGAAGAAGTGGAGCTAAGTTTTTGTGTAGGATGGCTTCGAAGTGAGAAAATTTTTCAGAAAGAAATTCTTGAGAAACGATTGGAGAGACAGACTTCGAAGACAAGTCTTGGAGTTCTTTCAACAAGCTGACCAACTCTCCAAAATTTTGTTCTTCTTTAGCAGAAAGAGTGGTCAGTTGAGGATTCATCTGCTCAAACAATTTTATACATTTTGCAATAGCGTCACAAATAATGTCAATCTTCTGATTTGCTGACGCATAATCTTGTTGAACAGTCTGAATCTCCTTCGTCATATCTTCAAGAAGTTCTCGGATCTGCAAGTTAACATCTTCACGTACCTTCTTGACTTCTTGCACGAAGAGCACATGACGCTCATTCGTAACAATCTTTAGATCCTTTAATTCCGTCACAAAATCAGATCTCAGAGAATTGATTCGATTCTCTGTAGAAATATCATTCTGATCAACCTTTTCAAGAACTCGACTCTCCGAATCCCTAATCAACCCTGATGCCTTCGAAATCACCCTTCCTTCCATCACCTTCATTAATGAATCAACTTCCATACTTGTAACTCCACCATTGCCCACATCTGCTTGGGATTGCAAGATAGAATTCAATTTCGAATTCCAAATCTTAAACTGCTTCATGGTCATCAACATGTGGTCAGGAAAATCTTCTTCGACTTGATCAAAATGAAGAGCTTCGAACGTTCCTCCAAAGCCTTTGTTATCGGTTTCAACATCAGCAGCCACGGTTTCATCAATAGGTGAGGATGGATGGGGTGGATCAGTTGATTGAGTTGAGAATATGGTGGTGAATGGTTGATCCATAATAAATTGAAATGTAGGAGAATCAGTTGTGGATGTAACCTGGGGTAGTGAACTTATTTCAAGAGGCTTCGAAACAACAACCTTCGATAGACCAATAGGCGGACTGGTCTTCGCTTCTTCTTGAAGTTTAATCTCTGGTGTCTCAGGAACTTGCTCGACTTCTTCAAGTCTTTGATTCGTCTTCAAAAGTTTTGCAAGATCTTCAACCCTTCGTTTCTTAGATGATGGAGACACCGGAGCTGGAATTTCCCGAACTGTGACCCCTTGATGTGTGACTTGTGTTTTCTTCACCACCTGAGACTTTCTCTTTATTTTGATACATCAAAAAACACCCGTCTTCGAAGGAATTGTTTATGTCGATGGAGACGCTTCGATTATTGGTGTCTCAACCACTGAGGTTAAAATTGGAGATACCTCTTCGACAGTATCAACTGTAACCACTGGAATTTTCTTCTTCTTTTCTGCCTTCACCACTTTTTCCGAAGACCCACCATCTGTCTTCTTCGATTTCTTAGGCTTTTTCTTCTCTTCTTCATGTAACACCCCTGTAACGACAGTTGTGTCAATGGATTGCAAATATGACACTAAAACTTCATTCGTCGGATCCACCTTCTTGAGCATCGCATCCGGAATGCGAGCTATTGATGTAAAGATAGCCGGATCATCATTTACCTCCTTCAGACTACCATACATGTGAAACACTGCCTTTTCTTTGAACTCCGGAACTTCGATTTTCTCCTTGTGGTAAATATACTGTATTATCATATTCCAATAACGAGCACAAGAAATCCCCTGTTTGGCACTCGTCTTTGAAATGCTAGTTAAGAACCCTGTCCACAATTGTTCAGAGTAATCCACTTGCAGATCATAATACAATTCAGCAACCATTGCATATACCTCCATCCTTCCTTTATCAAGACCCACGGTTCTTCCAGTAAGACATCGAAGGAAAATGCCAAATAAAAAATTCCATACCGTAGGTAATCCAGACTTCTTGAAGTCACTGATACGCGTCAAAGGAGGTTGATGACCCATCTCGTTGAACATGAATACTACTTGCGAAGAAGAAACTTCATCATAAGGACCAGAATTTGGAATCCCCAAAATTTTGCAAAACAAACGCTTGGACACCCTAATACGCGTATCATTCACCATAGTGAATTCCACACAACCTGTCTCCTTGTTGTATGATGCAGTGGAACCTGCCTTTGATAACCAAGACATTGGAACAGCAAAAGAATCAAACATTGCTTTAGACAGAACTGAATTCTATAAAGCAACCACCAACATTTGGAGTTCCTCCGGATATTTTGACAAATCAGATTCCACTTGGTAGTTTGAACCCTGGATTTTCAGAATCAGAACGCTAACAACTTCGTATGTGGTTGGTGATGATGTAGTCGCCATTGTTGAAGATAAGAACAGAGAATGTTTGAAGAAGATGATTGTTTGAAGAGATGAGTTGCAGAGAGAATTTTGTATGACAGAGAATGTTTGATCGCATAAAGTATTATTGACTCCTAAGTTCCCCTTTTATATGTAACCCTAGAATTTTAAATTTGAAGCTGCATTAAATGCTTGCTGACATGGCACCTTGAAATACGAACTTTACTCATCAAAAAGTAACAAACGTAACTGTCAGCACGCCTTATACGCGTATCGTATACCATACGTCACCAAGAGACAAGACTGTTTCATATTCCCCAAGAGAATTGTAACCGTCGGATTCCTTCGGAATAAAGGTCAGGCTCTTTCACTTTTGAGGTTTAAAAAGCAAAGTCATATGCCAGAGTTTCGAAATCATCAGTTTAAGTTGGTTTTACTCAAACCTTAAGGATTTCGTGTGTGTTGTGTTCCAAAAAAAAATTTAGATGATAAACAAATGAAATTCTTTTTTGAAAACTTGTGATGTCAAAAATTTATTTTGACACAAAAACAGTTTAATCCCAGGCAAAGATTTCTTTGAAAATTATCAAGAGAGATAATTAACAGCTTGCTTGGTTTCCCGTGAATTAAAATCGATAACTTGTAGAGAAGTTTCAAAGGGTTTCTTTTATAAGTCAAATGTGTGGCTTCGAAAATTTCTTTACATTTCAACCTTAACATAAGGTGATAAATTGTAAGCAAAATTAGTTGTATGACCAGTGTAGTCAGTGACAACTTGGTTTCGAATGATATGTAAGGTAACAAGGCTTTTCAAAATATACTCACACAGAAATCATATTCAAGAAAAAATATTATGCTGGATCTTATTGGGAACAAACATCGTAGGTTTCGAATGCTTGATGAAGATCACTCAAAAAGATTGAATACGATTTTGAGTATAAAAGGTACTGAAACAAAGGTTTCGTAAGTTCTGGAACATAGTTCCCCGTCAATTCCTTGATTTGTTGGTTTTTAGGGTTTCACTTCCATCACGGACTCATGATGTTAGATCATAAACACAGAGTATTTGTATGTCTAGATTGCAATTGGTTTGATCAACAATCTCTTGGACATACGTCATTGTGTGTGAATGGTGTAAAGAAGTTTAGGATGAAAAAGATTGGTTTTCGAATCGAATGTACCTCTGTTATAGATGGACCAAACAGACAACTCTTAACTCATTTGAGAAGAGTAAGGTAGCTCTATTGACTTATGCGAATACAAGCCTTGTTGGGAAGAAATTTTCATGAGATAATTTCATCAATGCTTTCATTTCTCACACATAGAGTCATATGAGGCTTGAGGCAACATGCAGCAACATGCTTCTAGGGACATCCTAACTAATCCAAAGTGTATCGAAATCATACCTTCCCATAGAAGACACACACATGAATCCTTCGCATTTAAAGCTTGACAAAACTCACAATACACATGTTAAAACCGAAGAGAACAAAAAAAATATTTTTGGTATTTTTGAATTTTTCAAAAAAAATAATAACAAACCAAAATAAAATCTTTTTGGATTTTTAATTTTTCAACAAAAGAAAATATTTTTGATTTTTCAGGTTTTTGGAAAGAAAAAAAATAAACTAATTAAAATTCTAACCTTAGTTGAAATGTGTACGAATGCGAAGAAGTGAATTAGAAAGATCTTCAAATCATACGAACACGAAGCATTCGAACCGTTGACTTGAACAGTAATCTCTGATTATGTACTTCAACAAGGAATAAATCTTCCGAATGCGAAGCATTCGAAGCGTTGACCATGAACAGTAACCTTTGAACACTTAACTCTTTGTAAGCAATTTGTCCTTCAGTTCACCAAAACATTCGAATCCATCAACCTTCACTTTTATCACATGTAAGTGAATTTCCATCAACCATACCCAATCCTTCCAATATACGAAAGAAAAGATTTTTCATCCAATGCCTTTGTGAAAATATCTGCCAATTGTTCGTTGTTTTCACAAAATGAACTTCAATATTTCCTTCTTCGACATGATCTTTGATGAAATGATATCTGAGAGCAATGTGCTTAGTCTTCGAATGCTGCACAGGATTATGACAAATTCTTATTGCACTTTGTGAATCACAATATAAAGGAATCTTTTTCATATTAATAGCATAATCACATAATTGACTTTGAATCCAAATTATTTGTGATGTACACGCAGCTGCAGCAACATATTCAGCTTCAGCTGTAGATATCGAAACACATGTTTGCTTCTTCGATTGCCAACTGACCAATTTTCCATCTAGTAATTGACACCCACCAGTTGTGCTTTTGCGATCAAGACTGCATCCTCCAAGATCCGCATCCGAATAAGCTTGTACAAAGAACCCTGTTTTCGAAGGATACCACAAACCTAACGAAGTAGTGCCTTTCAAATATCGAAAAATATTCTTCACCGCTGTTAAATGTGGTTCACGTGGATTTGATTGATACCTTGCACAATTACAAACAGAAAACATAATATCAGGTCGACTTGCAGTTAAATACAATAAAGACCCAATCATGCTTCGATACAGAGTGAGATCAACAACAGATTTATCTAACGAAGGAGTTAGCTTTATGCCCGTTGCCATTGGTACTCGTAACTTTGTGCTATTCGTCATGCTAAACTTTTCTAACAAAGTCTTCGTATATTTCTCCTGATTAATGAAGATGCCTTCCCTGTTTTGACGAATATTCAAACCCAAAAAGTTATTAATTTTGCCCATCATACTCATTTCGAATTTGCTTTTCATCAAGTCTTCGAATTCTTTGGATAAAGCAGGGTGAGTAGAGCCAAAAATTATATCATCAACATAAATTTGAACAAGCATCAGGTGATTCCCAATTTTCTTTCGAAATAAAGTGGGATCAACTGATCCTTGTTTAAATTTAGATTGTTTCAAAAATGATGTTAAAGTTGCATACCATGCTCTTGGTGCTTGTTTTAACCCATACACAACTTTATCTAAAATATAAACATGATCAGGATGTTCGGTATTTATAAAACCTGGTGGTTGTTCAACATATACCGTTTCTTCGAGTTCGCCGTTTAGGAATGCACATTTTACATCCATTTGATAAACGTCGAAATCTGTATGAGCTGCATAAGCCAGAAAAATACGAACAGTCTCGAGTCTTGCAACAGGGGCAAATGTTTCTTCGTAATCAATTCCTTCTTGTTGAGAATATCCTTTAACAACAAGTCTAGCCTTATTTCGAATAATGTTTCCATCTTTGTCAGTTTTGTTTTTATAAATCCATTTGAGTCCAACAATTGACACATCAACAGGTTTCAGAATTAATCTCCAAACCTTGTTTCTTTCGAATTCAGACAATTCAGCTTGCATAGCAACAACCCAATCAGAGTGTTCCATTGCAACCTTAACTGTCTTTGGTTCGATTTTGGAAATAAAAACATTAAACATGCATAACTCTTGATGAGTATTCAATACCTCATTTCGTGCATGAAGTTGAGCCCTTGTCATTACTCCTGCTTGTGGATCACCAAGAATTTGTTCTTTTGGGTGATTTCTTGTCCATTTATCCAATGGTGGATAATTAGGATAAAAATCCAAAGGTGCATCTTTGAACATAGCATCTGTTTCTGATCCATTTATGGAACATGCATCCTCAGCGTCATCGAAATGTTCTTCTTCAAGAATGGGATCCTTCTCAAGTATTGGCTCCTCTTCGTGTATTGGCTCTGCTTCGATATTTATCTCATCTTCGATAATTGGATCTTCTTAGATAATTGGCTCCCCCTCATCATTAACATTGGTTGACATTTTATCACTTTCGCAAGAATGCTCCCCCTCAACAAAACTGTTCGAATCCAAGTGCTCCCCCTCCACTGGACCACTAGTTAGTTCATTTGTGTTTAGATTCGAAACCGAAATTGAATCATTGTCATGCTTCGAATTTTCTGATTGTTGATTATCCGGTGCATTATTCTCTGCTTCAATTGCTTGATCTGAAATACCAAAAATCGATTCATAATTATCATCATCCATTTTAATTGAATCATTATCATTCGAAGAATTTTGCAAAATAGGATGATTTGCAAATTGATGATTAGACTTTTTAATGTAATGATCATCAAATGTCAAATTAAAAGTTTCTTCCACTTTTCGAGTTCGCTTATTTAACACTCTATAAGCAACAAAATTGTTTGAATATCCCAAGAAAATTCCTTCATCAGCTT